TGAGAGCCAGAAACTAGGACTTCAGCCCAGGGGGGAATTATATATACACAAAGGATCAAGCTTTCAAAGGAGCATGTGCAGTAAATGCTAGGCTTACTTATCCTATGGGAGAGATGTCTCCTGCTTCAGAAGATAAAAACCAGTAGCTTCAACATCCTTCCCACAGGGAAGTACTGAGGTTTTGGTAATTGCTGCAGCACTGGGTTCTTGCCTTCTTCATCAGAGCCTGCACACTCATGAAGAGAAGCTGGAAGAATCATAGAATGGTTTGGGCTGGAAGGGAGGCACTGAGTTTAGTGTAACTTGGAGAATATCAAAAGCTCTGTAATTTACTGTTACTAATTTAACAAAAAATAAGGTATTGAGGTAGAAAAGTGGCATTACTTAAATGCTTGTATTCCTTGTCAGCATACAGATACATTCAGATTAGAAACAAAGGAAAAGTAAAATGTTCAAAGACAAGGAAGAATCAATTTATGGGGGGGTTGACTCTTACCCCAGGCACAGAGATTTACTGGAGAAGTGGGGGCTGGAGGAGGAAAGAAGTGAGGGTGGGCAAGTGAACAGGTATGAAAAGCTAAGGAGGTTGTTCTTTTCAAGAAGTAGGGCGGGTTTTAAGAGCTGAGCTGGTTTCAAAAGGTCTCATCCCTACAGCTCCACACCTACATCCCCTGCACAGTGCTTAGCACCACAGGAGACTTAAAATTTTCCTACTTTAGCTCCCTTTGTTTAGGCACACAGAGAACACATTGCCTTATGCTGACCTAAACACAAAGATTTACAAGGTTAATACCTGTTAAAGCCAGCCTACTTCTTTCCCCTAACTTGAAGGCAACAAACCACCAAAAAAAAACAACCAAAAAACCAAACAACCACCACCAACAAAAAAATCAATTCCTGTATACTTCCTTGGGACAAGGCACTGAAATAAAGTACATATTTAGTATTTTTTAAGGTACACCAAAAAAAGATGAACTGTCTGCCTGCTCATTCTAACCTGAAGAGTGAAAACAAGTTAATAAATATAACGCATTATATAAAGCCTGGAGATTCTCACTGGAAACCACTGTGGAGAATAATCATCCCCATTTACCTGCAAGTTATATCAATCACCTATTTAGTCAAATGTCCTGCTTGGCCAGCAGGTTGCAGACACGTCTAGGGAGTACCTTAGAGAGTCACACTCAGTGTTGAAAAGAGGGGAGCTTTATTGGTAGGTAGAAAGTTGTGTTACAGGGCAAGTTTAAAACGTCACCTTCCAGGCGAGTCTGAAGAGTCTGTGGGAGGGCTGGAGAATTCTATGTACAAAGAACAGTGGTTTTGCCTCAGCAGACAAGACAAAGTGCACACACACCCCATCAGGCCTTGGCTCAGCCCAGGGTTTTCATAGGAGTGATGCAGCCAGGTCCTTGATTATCTCACTGCTCAGCTGAGGGATGGTGCTGATCATCATGAGTTTGCTGCTTGCATACTTGTTCTTTACAGCCTGCAGAGGCAGAAGGACAGTTACAAAAGACTTACACATACAATACCTATGTTCAGGCAGATGATTTTGGGTCAATTAGCCTGACTGCCTGGAAAACAAGCAAACAAGACCGTAAGTGAACCAGTCCAAAGTAGCTAGAGCACAGTCAGTCTGAAATGTTTTGGTGTAAAACTAATGCAACAGCCTCTCACAGGCCTGTCAGACCAGCATATGCTTTCAGATAACATACAGAATATTTACCTAAGGAGCCACAATATGCAGCAAAGACATTTTAAAAACATTAAAGAGAAGACTTAAGTCATTATACTTACAGTGTATTTTGTTAACTTCTCATTTACTTTGACCACGTTCTTGGCCATATGTTTCATAGTCATCAGAAGACTGTCTTCTGCATACCCAGTGTAGTATTGTTGCTTTATGCCCTGCAGCAGAACAGTAGGAAACTTGAGATTTGTGAAGGGGGAAGTGCTGCTCAAGGCACAGGCACTTCAGGCAGCAAACACCCTTAGCTTGAAGCTAAGCCTCAAGTGCTGGAAACTGTAGCTGTCAGTTTAAATGACAAATCCAGAGTAACTTCTGATGTGCAGAAGTCTGGATGTATCAGTTTCAAGAACCATATTTCTACACTGCAGAGGATTTTAAAAGAAGCAACTTTTGCAAGAGTAACCACTACCTGAATTACAATTCACTATTCATGGTCCAGGATTTCATCATGCTACATATATTGCAAGAATTATGAACATCTACCTTTATTTACAGTGTGACCTTCTGGGCTTTCAAGAGAAAAATCCTTCATACCACAGTGCTCATATTGAAAAAGACAGCTGAACAGCCTAATGTATAGTGGCAGGTAGAAAAAAAAAATATACCACTACAATCTCACTGTCATTTGAGCACCAGCATTATCACCATCATTACCAACTTCAACACAATTTTCTTTAGTACTTGTTTTAGTGGTTCATTTCCACTGACTGAAGAAAAAAACCCCTCACAACAAGTTTGATTAAAATACTTACCCATTTGTCATGTCCCAGGATCTTCTGGGACAAGCATAATGCAGCAGCTGCAACCTCTGAAGGACGATGGTGGACCATGTCATAGTCTATCAGTGTCAGCTCCATCAGGTATTTTGCCAGAGTATGTTGCTTGGCGTCGGCCTACCAGATTGAGAGCTTGTTAATACACAAGGTTTCACTTCACTTGATCATAGTCATTCAGAATTAATTACTGTATTCAATAACAAAACAAAAATAGTCAGCAAAATCTTTACTGCAGTCTAGGGGCCATCCTCTCTAACAGGCATTCATCTCCACATCCAGACCAGAGTCCCAGTCAGTCCAGACCAGCAGCCATTTGGAATTTACACACGAAGCCAAGTGAGGGATTTTAACAGAAAACTGCAGTATCAGGTACTGCAGTGCCCAGCTGGGGATACATGTGCTCCTCTGTAACACACACCAAGGGGCAGGGAAGGGCAAAATGACTTAAGGAGAACCTTACTACATCGAGTTACCCAGTGTTGTGTTGAGGTAGCTGGAAGCCCACTTCAAGTGTGGACAGTTCACCTGAGTAACTACTGAGGTGGGGAAAAAAGGGTTGGATCAAAGAGAAAGCTTATCTTTTGATTCTTAAATAAGAGTATTTGCAACCAGAAGTTACAAATAACTGTAACACTGCTAGTGTTTTAGGAGTAAATACCCTGATCAACAGGATTAAAAAGATTAAAAGCAAGGGTTCTGCTCTAAGGTACGTTTAGTTTAATGTTTAGTGCCACTAAGACTGAACACGGGCCCCAGTAAATACAAATGTGAACTGCTCCTGGCTGCCACGGTGACACTGCCCTGTTACTCCACACGGTGGAGTTTCAGAGCCGAGTATTTCCTGATCCAGCATTTAAGCAGAAGGCAAGTAAGATCACATGATGAAAATGCCAGGAGCAATCCTGACAGACTTTATAAATATAGGAAAGTGCCAGATAACAAGGACGAGCACCCACCTCCCCAGCTTTTGATGCTCTTCTTAAGAAGTGGATTGGAAGAGGTCGTCCCAAATCAAAGTTCAATTCTTTAAGAATAATCATCTCCATTTCTCTTATTTCACTGCTGGTGTAGGCATTGTCAGTAATGTAAACAAAGTCTGCTACATCAGGACACAATATCTCTTCGTATTTTGAAGCTAAAAGCATCGCTGTTACACCCACCAGCTGAAGCCTCTTGCGAGGTACTGGATGACTCTGCAACACAGGAATTTAAAAAGCAGGACCCAAAATGTCAAACTCTAAATAAACAGATTCAAATTTATCAGTTTTACTATAACAGTATGGCAGTGCTCATTCTTATAACATAAATTCTGAGTCAGAAATGTCTGTATTGACAGGCTCAAAAAGGGCAGCAGCCTCAGAGTTAAGATGCTGCAGTACCATAGCTCTTGCACAGAGAGCAGATTTTGCAGGTTCTTAGATTTATAAAGAAAGGATAAATCCCAAACTCATTTAAAAACACAGCAATTGAATAAGTCTTCTGATCTGAACCCCGAGTTGAAAGGTATCTTACTTGTAAGAAGCGATCTATAAGCGCAACACACATGTACAGCGTCTCCTGCAGGAGGTGGAACCTCGAGTGGACCTGGACCAGCCAGTCCACCAGGATTGCTCTCATGCGCCCGTTGATGGTCCTCCCGTCCAGGTACTGGGGGCGGACAGACTGCTGCAGCTGTGGGGGGAGAGAGCTGTGTGAGCAGGGAGGTCACCCCACGCTGCAGGGCAGCGGTGCAGATGTGACACATCGTACCTCAAGCTCTCTCAGATACAGGTAGATGTCCTTGACATAGTCACTGCACAGCTGGGGATTGTCTGAGTCCTCAGCATCAATGTCTTCCACGTTGTTGAGCAACACATCAGAGAAGGCTTGGCACAAATCCTCCTCTTGCATGGATACATCCATAGGGACAGGAGACAAAGCCTAAGGAACACACCATATCTGTTAACGCATCTTATGTCTCTACTGCTTAAGTTTCACCATTCCTTTGTTTCCATGTTTCTTCAATTACTACCACAATTTCTTTAGACACAAGTTGAAATCAAGCTTGCACTGTAGTGCAGCAAGTTTTCACTGAGATGTCACACAAACAGAATCCAAAGACCTTCTAGCAACTGCCAGCTAAAGCAGAAACTTCATCCTGTACTTAAACAGCTTGTTCTGCCACTTGAAATATCAGCCTGTAAGTACAACATGCATTAAACCAAAACCTCAGGACAGAGGCTTTGCTTTTTCAGCAGACAAACTATTCTGAAGTCAGAGGTCCAAGCTGCAAATCAAAATTAAAAATCAAAACAGAAATCATCACTTCCTACCTTTGGAACATCAGTTTCCTTAATTACTTGATTCACAGCAGCTGGAGCTTTACGCAGTACAGTTCCATTTGTGGTCTTGCTAGGTCCTTTCACAGGTTTTATGGATGCTTTGGGGCATTCTGTTCTCTGTAGTGAAAACAACTGTTATTAGTACAGTGGAGCCAACTCTTCCCCAGACAGAGATTTCAAATGTTCCTTTACCTTAGTTAGGCGTGTTCCTCTTGTTGCAACTTTATTTCCGATTTCTTCCAAGGCAGCCCTTCTGCCAGGAAGGTGAGTTTTTGCTTTACTTCTAAGGTCAGACACAGCATTCTCCATCCCTCTAGTGACCTAAAACGGTAAAATTCCAAAAGGTTAAGTAAGAGTCAGAGACTAACGATTTGCCAATGCCCAACTCCATTACACCCTTACCACCACTGTACCCGTGTGCCCCTGTGCCTGCTATCCATTGCTCAACCAGCTCTTATTTCCTACACTCGTTCAGAGGAAAGTCTCCTCTGTACAAGTTTCAGAGCACTGTACTCTCTGAACTGAGTTGCAAAATTAGAGCAATGCACCCGATCTCATTCTTGGTAAGGTTAAGAGTGCTCACCTCCTATTTCACCCTTTATTATACTTACACATTTTGTAACTATAGCAGCACTCCCAAGAAGACGCAAAAAGTTCTTTGTTACATATATACCATATAAATTAAAAACTAGGCTATACACGCAAAAATCGATGCCCTTTGTTATGCACAGCGAAGAAACCACCAGGGTTCAAGCTTCTCGTGGAGTTCAGTTTAAACCCTTAGATGATCACCAGAGAAAGGTTCTGTAGTCCCTTCCCACACCTCCCCCATTCCATAGCTTTAGTTTTATCGCTCCAGTTCCGCGGGGGAGGCGCGGGCGGCCAAGGCCGGGAGCGATCCGGGGGCAGGGCCCGCTCTGCGGGGCACGGGGCAGGCCGCTCACACCCCTCAGACCTCCCACAGCCCCCCGCCACGGCCCAGCCCGGCCGCTGCCGCACCCGCCCCAGCACCGTGGGGTCCTGGCCGGACACAGCGTCCAGAGCTACCCCCCCACTCTCACAGGGCAGAGCCCCCGCCCTCCGAGCCTGCGGCTCCCGCGCCCCCTGAGGGTAAAGAGGCCCACGGGCGGATCGGCGGCCCCCCGCCGCGGTACTTACGGGGACGCGTCGCGCCGCGGGCAGCGCCATGGTCACGGGCAGTAGCGTGAGGGACCCGCTCCGCTCCGCAGCACGAACGGTAGCCGCAGCCGCACGCTCCCGCGACTCCCTTTAAAGCCCGGCCCGCTCTCCCATTGGCTAACTTCGTACAATGCACGCGTCCCATTGGCCCGCCTGCCCAGGCTCCGCCCCAACAGGAAACGGTCCGAGCCGTTTCCGGTTCCAGGCCCTGAGGGAAGGGCGGCCCCGCCCTCGGGGATCGGCCCAGCCCACGGTCCCAAAAAAGGACGTTTTAACCCCAAAAGCAGCGGCACTGCGGCGAACGGCCACGTAACAGCCGTGTACAGCTGGGGAGAGGCCCGCGAAGCAATGGAAGCACCTGCGCTTCGCATCGAGGTTATTATGGGTGGCAGCTGTGGGGGCCAGCACTGCAGGACCAGCGGGACCACCCAGAGCAGACCGACCTCGTTCAAAGGAGCAGCTTCACACAGTGCCCTGCAGGAAACCAGTCCAAACAGCTGCATGTTACAGCTTTTACTTTAAATTTCACTAAGTTAATTTAATAACGAGTCCCGAGATTCAGAGACTTGAACACTACAATAGTTGCCTAAACTGGCTGAAAAGTGTAATTACAATTCTTCTGCAATCCCCCCAAATTGGCTTTGAATAACAAAGTTCCACGTGACTGACTGCTTATCCACATAATTAATTGCAGCTAAACGTCGATCCTTCACTGAGGTAACTTTTTCCTCAGTTAGTACCCATTACACTTAATACATGTACCCAAAGGAATGTTTAGGGACCAAAACTTTCAAGAGCAAGAGAAGACAGAGGAAAAAAAACTTGCATAAGAAACAGATTTTGAATGATACCAGTCTACCATTTTATTTATTGCATACAAAAGGATTTCTTTTGACAATGGAGTTTTATATGAAAAGTAATTTGATGCATACTGTTGAGAATCTTATCTTCAAAGTCAAAGATGCTGCAGAAAACTTAAGGCAATGCATCTAAGCATATAAAGCACAGTAAGTAGTGGAAATTTTCAAAATGAAAAGCCTAATCTTTCTCCTTCTCTTAAATTACGGTTAAGTCACAACCTTCTGGAACAGAAGTAAGCTGCAGCTTTTTAGCCCCTGCAATAGCATTAAGATCAGA